AACTGCCCTCTGTAGTGAGTTTTTAAATGGAAATGCTGAGGGTTGCTTGGGGCATAGAGTGTCACTGAGCCACTGGTACCTCCCAGCAGCAAGCTTGCAAAAACCTATCCAAAAAGGCAAGAAGGGGGTGCCCCCATGGCAACCACCCTATCCCTGTCAATCTATCCCCTATCCCACCTCACCATTCCCAGCCATGACCAACTAGGATAGTTCAATATCACCAGGCCCTGGTGAGCCAAGCAGGAGATGCAGCTGCTGGGAGATGACTGCGGCTGACACAAGGCCGCTGTTGAAGATGGAGCAGGAGACTCCACCACTGAGAAAGATTGCCATCATGATCCTGCTCAATGCAACGCCCTTCGCCACCGCGCTTCACTGCAAGTCCATCGATTCAAGAGGCCTATTCGGGAAAAGCCAAAAAAGCGAGCTCTTCCCTAACCGAGGACTGTGTGGCTTGGGGCAGAACAATCTTATATAGCCTTGACTCTGCCCACTGCCTGGCCCCAGATCAGGAGGTTTTCCCACTGCCTCCGCCTCCTTCCAGCGGGTCAAAGGCAGCCCCTGGCCTTAAAAGCTGCAAGGGCTGTTCAGATAAGAACATAAGAACATAAGAGATGCCAATGTTGGATCAGGCCAAAGGCCCATCCAGTCCAACACTCTGTATCACACAGTGGCCAGAAATACAAGTGCCATCAGGAGGTCCACCAGTGGGGCCAGGACACTAGAAGCCCTCCCACTGTTGACCCCCCCCAAGCACCAAGATGACAGAGCATCACTTGCCCCAGAGTCCCTATCTATACCTTGTGGCTAATAGCCACTGATGGACCTCTGCTCCATATGCTTATCTAATTCCCTTTTGAAGCCGTCCATGCTTGTAGCCGCCACCACTTCCTGTGGCAGTGAATTCCATGTGTTAATCACTCTTTGGGTGAAGAAGTACTTCCTTTTATCTGTTCTAACCCAACCGCTCAGCAGTTTCATGGCGTGCCCACGAGTTCTTGTATTGTGAGAAAGGGGGGAAAGTACCTCTTTCTCTACCTGCTCTTTCCCATGCATAATCTTATAAACCTCAATCATGTCACTCAATCATGTCAGATGGGAAGGAGACAGATTCCAACTGGATATTCCTACTGCTGCCTGGAATATTAAAATATTATTCCCTGGATCCAGGGAACCTGGGACACTATATAAGGGTCTCATATTCTGGCTTGCTAGTGATCCAGATGCCTAGAAAAAGGGAGAAAGGGATTTTTTTTGAAATCTCATCCCACAATTATTTCAGATTTGCAATATCACACTCATGGAGTTTATTTAACAAAAATTGATGATTATAATTGTGATGCTTTTACCAATGACAGTAAAATGGAGCTGCAAGATTCAAATATGGGGTGGACTGTTGCCTTCGATCTGCTATACATATGCGGTCCATAGGTAGCCCAACCCACATGATCAGCAATAGAGCCAATCTATTTTGGAAAGAGGTAGTACCTTGGACTGCAAGAAGAACAAATCAGTCCATCCTCAAAGAAATCAACCCTGACTGTTCCCTGGAAGGCCAGATAATGAAACTGAAGCTCAAATACTTTGGCCACCAAATGAGAAGGGAGCACTCACTGGAAAAGACCCTGATGCTGGGAAAGATTGAAAGTCAAAGAAGACGGGGATGGCAAAGGATGAGATGGTTGGACAGTGTCATCGATGCAACGAACATGAAGTTGAGCCAACTTCAGAGGACGGCGGAAGACAGGAGGGCCTGGCAGGAGATGGTCCATGGGGTCGTGAAGAGTCGGACTCGACTGCGACTGAACAACAACAAAGTACTATGACAGCCATACTTTTACATAAAAAAGTCCATATATGTATCTGACTCTCCTTCTCTTTATCTTTCCCTGGATCCTAGCCCAGAATTCAGATTCAAGATTCTAATTGGAATACTCCCCCACAAAATCCCCAAAAATATAGGATCCCTGTTCACAAGTCACAGTTAGAGGATGTGGAGGGCTGTGGTTCAATGGTACAACCTCTGCTTAATACACAGAAGGTTCTGAGTTCAGTCCTTGGCACCTCTAGTTTAAAGGATGACATAGGAGATGATGTGAAAGACTTCTGCCTGAGACCCTGGAGAGCTGCTAGAGGGTTTAAAAACCCCAAAATGATAAAAGGAGTGCCTGTAGATTTAACAAATGGATTCTTTCAGTGGCTGTTGCTAGGTATCCACAGCATTCCAAGGTTTGGTTTCTGTGAGTAAAAAGCAGGGGAAGGGGAAAGGATCCCTTCCAGAGATCAGTTCCTCTGGGAGAAATGGCTACTTTGGAGGGTGGACTCTATAACATTATACTGTACTAGAGATGGGACTATAACGATTTTCCCACTTTTTTGATTATTCATATTTCTCTGGTTTTTATAGATTTATTCTTTAAGTAATATTTTATTAGGATGTTAGAAAGGCCTGTTATATAGAAGGCTTTCCTCTTGTAGGTCTGATATTGCTAGCAGACAACATAATAGGTACAAAGTTCATGATTCTGTAGTTCTTAGGGCAAACCTTCCAATGTCTGGGTTAGTCTTGTATCAGTAAAAATACTTTTGTTTAGGATATGAAGAATCCTTGCCCATTATCATTTAGGTTAGGTTAAGTTAAGACTTAGGTTTTACTTAGATTGACGTAGATATATGTTTCTTTACATCTGACAAATCAGAGGCTTATTACTCCAGTTACCACTGTCTTTTGTAACCAATTATGCTAGTTGAGTATTGTTTTCTTGATGATGTCAGTCCATGTATAAAATATCATGTATTTCCTGAATATGTTCAAGAATATGTTCAAGAAGAAAAAGAAAATGAAGAAGAAAAAGAAGGAAGTTGTCAATTTTTAATGAGTTATTTGGTCTAATTGTTTTCCTGTTAATTGAAGCACATTTCCTAAATATGCTGAAAAGAAAGTAGTCAATTTTGGATGGACTATTTGGTCCAATTGTTTTTCTGTTAATTGAAATAAAACATAGATCTTCCTCCTCATTTGACTTCATTTTTTTACATGGAATCTAATATGTACAACAAATTCCTTGATGAGGGGCATAGCACTATATCCTGATGAGGTCCCCAAACTTCATCCTCCCAAGGCTCCACCCCAAATCTTCAGGAATTTTCCAGCCTGGAGCTGACAACCCCAAGGGGAGCTGATCTCTGTTGGTAAGGAGAGAAAGAAAGAAAGAAAGAAAGAAAGAAAGAAAGAAAGAAAGAAAGAAAGGAAGGAAGGAAGGAAGGAAGGAAGGAAGGAAGGAAGGAAGGAAGGAAGAAAATGGAAGAGGCTATGGGACTTTCAGAAAATGAAAATATAAAATGGGAGGGGGATGACTCCCACAAGTTCTTGTGGGTTTTTGCTTGTTTATTACATATGCCTTTATTTTTCAGTCACCAGAGGTTTGGCCTGGTTTATTAGTAAATATTCCCAAATGGAATTGGAATAAAATGAAACTGGTCCTTGTTGCTGATGCAATTAAGTCGAAGTGCCTCTATTAAATATCCTTATGTTGTAATAATTAGTGAAACAAACATCCTGTGTGTTGGTTTGCTAGTGACTCACATCACTTCTCCCTTTGCCTCCAGGATATGTATATTGTGTTGTTGTTGCATGCACAGATTGTGCATTTACCTTTCTCTTCAAAGCTATCAGTGGCCCTGGTGTCTGGGAGCATCCCCAGGCTCAGCCAGCGGTCCGGGCTCAGCCATGGTGACACTGGCAGCTGAGATTGGATCAAATCAAGACAACTTCTGAAGTGACAGATACGCAACTGAAGACAAATCACAGAGATGCATTTGACAGACAGTATATTCAAAGGTAAAATAGTCTCCCCTATTCCCTTCATACACTTGTTTGAATGAAATAACACTTCTGAGATCCAACCCCATGGTTTAGATCCAAGCCCCATTGTTTTAGACTGCAAAAGGACTTCCTATGCAAGCAGAAGGAAAAGTTGCATCAACATACGGGCACCTAGATCCCTTGGTTTGGACCCAACCTTTTCCTTTTATAAAGCTTTAAGACACATTCAAGAAATGCTATTTTACTGTCCCAATCTTGCATGCATGAGGAATCCATGTGCATAAACGGGTTGTTGTTGTTTTTCGTGTCTCTCTCTGTGTGTAGCCGATGCACATGTGAATGCATTTCTGAACACATAACATCCCTACATGGACAGTGACGCTCATTTGTACCCTGCTGAATGGACATCTTTGGATAATGTTAGGGACGTTCATTCCTACATCAGTCCAGTGGTTGTTGGGTGTGACTGGTAGTTTACAGCTAGAACCAGATTGGGAATGGTATGCAATTTGCCTTCTGTATATGAAAGTTAGCCTCTTATTCAACAGCTATACGTGGTACATATTAAACCCAGGCCTTTGTTTTCATTTTGCCAATAAAAAAGTGCACCTAGAGTACATGTAAAAACCAGTTCAGTCCTCAATAGTTCAGTGGCACAAATAACTGGGTTATAACCTTGAGCATAGTTGAGAAGGTGCATGCCTTCACTTCACACTTTGTGCTCACCATGGGTGCATTTATGGAGTTACTAGTTTATTAATTGCTCAAGAGTTTTGTGTTTTAATTCATAAACTACATAATGCAGGTTCTCTGGAGAGGCAGCATAACCATTTTCTCAATATATAAATACATGAATAAACCACATTTATGGCATGCCTAAAGGCACCTCTGTCCCCTCCCCCCAACTGGCATGAATGGCTGCCATCTACCCATGTGGGATAATAATGCAATGCATTTGGAGGCAATAATGCAGAGGAGATCACAACTATCCACCATAGTGGGCATCTCACCCTACACAAGCAGG